AAATCATTTTGCTGATTGTGCCACACTTAATTGTAATAAACGAGTGCGTACATGGTCAGAGAACTTCTTCTATAAATACAGCTATGCTGAAAGCGACGTTGATTATTTATTGAAGCAAATATACTTCGGGTTAAAAATTCTGTTCATGTAAAACACCTTATGAGAAACCGAATTATCTACCGAGCATAATTCGATAAAGCCCGTACAAAATATGAACTAGGAAAACATTAACACATGGATGCCCTTGAAAAAGTGCACGGAGAATAGGACCAGCTGTTTCGGAGCGGTAAGCGTGTTCTGCCTATAGACGACACTCGCAATGCTAATCTATGTCTTATCCAAGTAATGTCAAGTCCTCAAAGCGCGAAGCGGGGTAGTGACATCAAAACATACTAATGAGCACAATAAAAAAACATCGACCTTCGTATCATATACAGAAATAGTATTTCCCTATGATAACATGATGGCTACTCAAAACGGTATCATAGTATTCATCAAAGACAACAAGCATATTTGAAAAGTCTTGTTTTGCATTTTGTCCGTCGGCAGTCGGTATCAGACAAAGACTATAACGGTGAGACCAAATGCTCGTTGGTACAAAAAAAGCTCAGCAAAGAGAAAAAAACAGAAGTGCAGAGGAGCGAAGAGGATAAAATGACCACCAACTAACAAATGTACCGAGCACTGTCTTCGTGTCACAGAAAATGGTAGTGTATGCAAGACCGCTTAATGATCACAAACCACTATGTTTACACTGTGAACCTGAATTGCTGATTAACCAACTCGTATTGGTCACACGTCAACATGAAGTGTTGTGAACAATAAGTGTTGCTACTGCCTCACGTTATGTTCATTTAATGCTAAAAGTCTATACGTGACCAATTAGCGTTGCATCTGAAATACTTAATATAGTTCTTCATCAATACAATCAGGCGCTGCCTTATTAAGCTCTAAATGTCATATGGATCCTCGTGTCGCTGCCGAGCAACTGTAACAATGCATTAGAAACAAGATTTGAACTCAAGACCCACAATTAGCATGCCGGCGCTCTAAACAACTAAGCCACCCGGTCAACGGAACCGCGCGCCAGTTTTACTACAGTCAAAAAAAAGTGAAACCATATAAGGGGAGGTTACTCTAGGTAAGAACAATAGAACAACTCAGCGGAATTCTCTAGTGTTTTGCCTTCCGTGGTATGGGTATCGTTAAATAATCCGTATTTTGTATTCTAGGGCGTGTTTGTGTTCTGTTTTACTGCAGGACCGAACAGCAACTGTAGCTGTTACAGCACAGACACTCAGCACAGACCAATGGAATTCTGTGGTAATGATAAAACATTGCCTATGAAATCCCATGTACATATAACGACAACTATACGGACATCGAACCTAATTTAGTCGTCTGTGTGGAAGGCCGGAGTTCTAACATACAGCCAGATCAGCCCAATATATGTATATCCACTGGCCAAACATTAGTTTTTCGAGGTCATTGCTCCTAGTCGTTCAACATCCAGTAATAGAGGTTAAGTTGTGTTCAGCAGAAAGCTTAATTACAGACCATTAATAGAATTATCTTAACAAATCGTTAGAGCCATCAATATTGAATCTTACGGACCACCAGCCTTGATAGCTGATTGACTTGGATTCCATTTCGCTAATGAAAACGTTTGCCTTCTCTACGCTAAGTAGGTTTTAAATCCGTTAATCGCTTTTACAGCTAACTTCATGTTTACGTACATAAAAGTTGTTGTGTCACATGTGGACTAGTCAAATGCCTTTTTTGTGTGCCGTAAATCACAAATATTATTGACTTTTTTAATCCGCGTTACTGCTATCCGGAACCTTTTGTCATAAAGATTAATAAGTGATCCGCGTAAGAAAATAATATGTCATAAACATGTCAATACAAAGTTACGGGAAAAATATTGTGAGAATAACAACACCTTTTCAGGTGTAAATGTGCATATGGAAAAGACAATGACGATAGGATTGTTATAAAAATATTTCTTCTATGTAGTTTTAAGGTTCATTGTATTCCTCCGCGCAAAACCTATATTTGGGCACGTACCATTGAGCTTAGAAGTCATTTGGAAAAACAATGTTTAGTTGAGTTTTTTTAAATGGAGAAATATATAAGGTATAGTATATAGATGATAAATAGTTAAGCATACAGTATTTTCAGTGTTGGTCGTTCTTATAAAGATTAAATATTTGAATCCCGATCTAAACCTATTTGAAAATTATTAACTTTAACCCTTTCACCCCAATGCAACTTTAGTAGACTCTACCATGCATTGATCTGGATGAGTCCATTATGGTCTACAGTGGTGAAAGGGTTAAGTATAGAAAAAATAAAATGTAGTTCTACTCAACATGAAACACTTTTCGTTGATAATTAAAACCATTGTTAGGCTGTAATGCTGTTCGTGCTCCAGTCCCTTCAATGCAGTATGCACGAACCCTCAACATGATTTCCGGAAAATTCAAAATCGTTAACGATATAGATCTGCGTAGAGCCCAGAATTGCTGATCCGCAAACAACGAAGTCGGTACCTGCTGGAATCAATGACCATTTATGTGAACGGTTTTTTTCATGCCATTATGCAAACACGCTGGTAAAGTTTTTAATGGCCAGTAAAATTGCAGCGTGTCTTTGTCATGTTTCTGCGCGTTAAATTACTTTAAAAACTGTATACGGTCCACAGTATTGACATGAGTAGTGCTTTTCACTGTAAAAAATACTTTAGTGTATCCTCAATTGGCGTAGTGCAGAGACATATATATATATATATATTACATGGCTTTATGTCTGTGCGTAGTGCAATAAAAAAAACTTAAAAATCTCCGTGAAGCATGGTAATATATAGCTCGGAAAACTGTCAAATAAAAGAGGAGAAAAAAATCGCTTCGTAAATTGCACTGTTTATGTCCTCACCGTTGACATGAATAAGTGTTTTGAACATGACGAAACGTTTAAGAGTGTAGACAATGCGAAGTACGTGTACAATAAAAAAAATAAACTATCACGTAGCTTGAAAATAGAAAGGTCAGATGACTGTCAAATAGAAGACAATATTGGGCACTTGTTGCCCATACAAAATATGAAGGCTATTAAACACTGCGAGTTAGATATTTGTTGAGTTCACGGGACTTACTTCCTGTGCTGAGAATGTCTTTACATGTTATAGCTTCCCACCTTTTGCAATGCATGACATCCAAAAGTAGACCATATGCAACTCTGTTGTCATTTCTGGTGACAATACATATACTAGACGAGACTATATCACGCGCCATCGATAAGTGCGTGAGTCAAGGTCATTTTATCAAAACAAGCTCGATAGCAAGCAAGCTAGCAGCACACTTTAATTAACAATAAATAATAATAATAATAATGCGAGGTTCTTTTATACCGCTGCAACCCTTCGGTCACGAGCCAGGCGTCCTACCATTGGACTACCGTGCCTCCTTACCAATTAACATGGATGTTTTATAGGAAGATTTTTAACTAATTTTACTCATTTTATCCCAGTATACGAAATGCAAAACTGCATAACTCCTATATGTCTTTATTATTCTAATAAGGTGTTTGAATATTACACATCTTGCCCCCCCCCCCCCCCCCCCCCCCCCCCCCCNGAAAATTGTTCAATGTCATACACTTGGCAAAACATGATATCCCTTCATCCACGGAATTAGATTATTGCTATCCAAGTCCGTACTTCATCCCAGCATTGCACAAGCATGTCTCCAAGTCTTTTGGCTTATTTGTCATTCACGATGTCCAAGAAAGTGAGTCAAGGGCATCCATTTGACACATCACACCAAGGCATGCTACTGGCCAGTTCTTAAAGGTGTCGTGTCGTTTCGCCCTAAATCCCGTTCACCCTGGGTCGTTTCGTACTAAACCCTGTCGGCCCTAAACATATTATTAGGGCAAAACGTTTCGTCCTGTTTAGTTGTGTATGGCTAATACAGTCTAATTTGAAGTTTTCCAAAGTCTCCTGTAGTACTTTTTGTCATTAGACTGGTAAGATTCGTACGTACATGTAGTCGACTAGATTTGCGGCACATACAATATTAGCATACATCAGCATGATATTCTCCAGCATGACAGCACATGAAAAAACTAAGTGTTTTTTATCATTTAAAACATTTCAACGCATACCTATATCTATATTAGGGCGAAACGACCCGGATCGGTAATCAAAGGCTTCAAGATTGGTTATGTAGAAATTGTTAAAAGTAGAAAGTTGATGCAAGTTATATAACAAGAGTTCCGCAAGAAGGTATATGATACGCCCGTCAGATGTAGAATGAGCAGTTTGCCACAAAGGGCCATAAGTGCATAAATTTTGAGAGATAAGGTCAAATCTTATCAAGCTTGTCCGAGCTTTCATGGCAATGAACCTTCCTACCAAGTTTGAAATCAATCCATTCAAAATTACTCAAGTTATTGAGCGGAAACTGTTTCGGCAATTCTATAAAAGGCCATGACTCCGTAAATAACCGGCAAATAGTTTTGGTTATTGCAAGCTTTCATAGAAATAAACCTTAAGTTATTGAGCAGAAACCGTAACGTCAATTCTATAAAGGGCCCCTTAATAACAGGCGTATAATGGTTATCGAACTTGTGCAGGCTTTCATAGAAATGAACCTTTCTATGAAGTTTGAAATGAATCAATTCAAGGTACTGAAGTTATTGAGCAGAAACTGTTTCGGAAATTCTACAAAGGGCCATAACTCCGTAAATAACCAGCGAATAATTTTGGTTATCGAACTTGTCCGAGCTTTCATGGTAATGAACCTTCCTATTAAGTTTGAAATGAATCCATTCAAAATTATCCAAGTTATTGAGCGGAAACTAATGTGTGCCCACCCGCTTGAAAACATAATACGTAATATAGACGGGCGTATAAAAAGAGGCTTAAATCTAGGTATTTATTTATCATGAAACGTAAATGATTCTAATAATTTTTAGTAAAACAACAACAAAATCTTTGCTTACAATCTAAGTATTATTTTTTTGTATACATTTATTTATCAACTTTCATTCAGCACTATACACTTCGATAATTTGCTGACAACATATTTCATGATCAATTTGGTTTTCACAGTGTAACATGATATCGTTAATGCGCAGTTGAAAATATTGCATTTGACAAGACAATGATATCTATACATCAAAGTATGTACATAATTTTCATACATTAAGGTGAGAAGGATTCAATACAGTCTATTTTAAATGCGTTTTTAAAAAACTAAATAAATCTGTGTTTTCAAAGAATTTTCAGTTGTATAATTTGTTTACAATCTATAATACAAAAATCAAATTCAACATTATAAGGCAAGGATATTTTCCTGCAATGTTTAATTTTTGCTTTTTGCAAATCCAGTTTTCATTTTAATTATTCAATCAAATAAACAAATCTGAAACATCCTTTCTTGGATTTGCAACATAAGACGCAAAAAAAAAAAGTTTTTTATGTCTGGTCGGACATAAGTATGTACCTCTGGACATAAGTATGTACCTCTGAAAAGAAGACTGATGATGATGATGATGATTATTTCAAATGAAAAATTAAAAAGTTTGAGAAAAAGAAGCCAAGAAATAATGTTCGGTTCAGGTGAAAACTTCCACGTTAAGGTTTTTTAAATCCATTCGGTGATTAAAACCTAGCAAATAAATGGTGAGTTTTGCAATAAAAAATTCTAAACAGAAGATAAACACCATGATGTATATATTCATAAATTAATGCTCATTTACTTTTGCACCATCATGACCAATTGTCACCATGCACGGACTGTTCTTAAATCCTGCTATCAAACTATAAATAAAACAGCAAGTCAATTGCAAATTGGGATGATATTAAATTCAAACTCGTTTGAGATATTTGTTCACCTTTAAATAGTTCTGTTACTTGATCATTTGAGTTAATATAATGTATTAGCTATAGCTATACAGACATCATTCAACAACAAAAAATATCAATATCGCTATCAAACAAATATATGGAAGTACTCAGTAACTTCACAGATGAATTATATATGTACTCATATTTTAATCAACTAAAGTCAAACCATGTTTAAAACATCCTCATTCCTATCTCACTAATGTTGGACAATTTACACATACAAGTGTAGCTGTCATGGGATACTTCTTACATATGTGTATTGTGAGAACAGTGTACAGGTTAACCCTTTCACCACTGTAGACCATGATGGACTCATCCAAATCAATGCATGGTAGAGTCTATTAGAGTTACATAGGGGTGAAAGAGTTATTGTCTATCAAAGACCATGGCTACATTCGTGTATCCCGGTTGAAACAGTACGTGTGGCGCAGAAATATTCCACGCTAAGCGAAAGCACTTGGACATTCTATAAGCAGAGCAAAAAATGCACAGTTTTGTAGAAGAAAAGCAATGTATCAAGAACATTATGCCCTTCTCTCACGCGTCCACTGAATTACATAACATAACTTAAAAACTACATGTGGCTTGACATTGTTCTAGAAAGAAATATAACGCAACTGGCAATCGTCAGCATTTTAGTTTCGGCCAGGTACGTCTGGACCCCTCAATCTACATGTGCTGAATATTTTTGAGGTCAGCCGCGGTTCAGATCTGTACCTGTCGTTTTCTTTACAGGTTCAATCGGTTCAACCTTTTCAACCGGATACGCAACTGTACCCCATGTTCCTACAGGGAACGTAACAAGAGAAATAACAACTGTCATTTAGTTCTCCATCAGGGAATAAATGGCCATGAATGTTAAGTCACATCAACATGTGAATTACAAACACAGTAAAAAAAATCATAAATGCATCACCTGCTTGCTTTTCAGATGGACGTGACCTTGAAGTTATGGCCATTAATGTCCTGAGTGTCTATGCCTGAAAGCTTAGAAAAAGAGTCACAGTTTGTATTTATTATGTAAGGGAATTCCTTTTCCTTTTTCCAAAAAATTACAATAACAAAACTTCACAACATTCAGTTATTTTTTTCTCTGATAACAGTTCTCATATAGGTCATGTAACACCTACAACTTTACCAGGAAATCAAACAATACCATTGACAGACATCCTGGTATTGATCCTGTTACTTTGTTGACTTTACATCACACAACTATATATTGATATGCTACTTTCACTTTACCAGTACTTCACACTCAAAACTTCCTTTAATACAACACTGCATTGCAAAATACTTTCACTTTCCCAGTATATTACACTGCTCACAACAGAGCCACTTGCTCTTCGGTTTGTTCCTCCTCCATGTCTGGAATCTTCCACTGAATGCGACGTCCCTCCTCATACATCTCCTTGATGGTCGCCCGCACCTTGTCCATACCATCTTTAGACATCTCCTGGTACTTCAGATACAGCTGGAGAGCGGTGTGCGAGTCCTCAACAGAGTCATGAGTTTCTGACTGGATGTTGAGCTCTGGAAAATAGGTAGAACGGTGAACATCTATTGCTGTATATGACTTTGTAAGTTTTGTAATAAAGTAAACTATCATTAAACAGGATGAAGGAGGTGTGGTTAAATTGGAACCAAATACAAGAGATCACAAATGGATCTCGACACCTGCAATTCAAAGATCAAGGGAAGTTGCTGGCATACAGTTTCTTTCTTCCTTATTTCTCCGTTCTTTTGTTTAACAAGCATGTGTATAGGTACCAAGAGGATCCTGAAAACCAAGCTGCAGCATAATCTTTGGGGGCTTTCTTCTATACTGTATTTCCCAGTCTGTTTCAAGTCAGGGCATAGGGGATCAAGCATACTAAGTTTCAACATGATCCCTTAACTCATTCACTCCTGAAGACACATTTGGACTCTTCCAATTCAAAGGTTGTTATAGTTCATTATGAAATTTCAGGGGTGAATGAGTTAAGTGTTTTTTTAAGAAATAGCATTATGAGAGGAGAGAATTAAGGAAACCAAAATTGACTTGGACAAAAAGGGTTGAGAATGAAGAGAACAATAATTAGACCAAAGAGTTGGGCCATGGCCAAAGACTGAGTAGAATAAAGGATTGGAACTTGATGAGAAAATTTTAGGTAAAATACTTACTGAGGAAATACCAAGCCAGAAACTTGAGTGAGATCATCCTCTGACGTGGGAGATGGAATAACTCCACAGTATCTATCACTTGGTCCTTGGGAACCTGTGAACAAAAAATACTTTTACTACCTACGGCCATACAAGAAACGTGTAAAAATATATGAATGGCCGGTCCTAAAGTAATTGCTAACTTTGTGTAATGGGCATTACTATATGGGCCTCTGGGGAAAAAAATGAATCAATAATATCCCTTTGTTTTTTTTTATTTTTTTTTATCAATTATGATTTTATAACTTGACATTCTCCGTAAAAATGGTGGCAGTAACGTTATAAAGCTAAGTAATGGCCAGAAATATTTCACATAGCTGGATCCCCTTTGAGACTTTGCTCTCAGTGACAAACCCCTCTGAGAGGTTTCACAGATTAATACGATTAGTGATCAAATGAGGATAAATATACCAAGATCTTAATTTAAATAAATCTCCTAAAAATAATCAGATAGGGCCTTGTCTTCATTTCATATTACATATATACTAAGATCTTAATTTAAATAAATCTCCTAAAAATAATCAGATAGGGCCTTGTCTTCATTTCAAATTACATGATTTTTTATATAAAAAACATTTTCAAAATTAATCTTCACGCAGTAAGTAAATAAAAGTACTATTAAATAGTACAACTATCTGTCAACTATAACCAGAAATAAATTCCTGGTATAATACGGAGTTGATATAACAACGGAGACTTATACATGGAACTGCTAGGAAAAGAACAAGACAGAGGACCTTGAACTATGTTGACAATAAGAGAAAGGGCAATAAAAACACGACGTATGCTATGGTCTTTACAATACATATAAAATACACTCTCATGAATCTATACATCACTACTAACTTAGATTTTAATTGAACAAAACATTTTAATTGAACAAAACATGAAACACTGGGTAATTAATCCCTTTTTTTAAGATAATTTTTGTGTCGTTTATTTAATGTGTATGAAAATGATTCAAAATTCCAAGACAAATTTCAAAACAGTCTAGAATGCACTGGAATTTACAGCTAAGGGGAGGTAACTGTTACTCCATTTATCTACGGGAGTACGTAAGCTTGATCGCTAGTTTGTTTCTCTAGATATGTAACTTAGCTGGTACATCAAGGTTTGGTGGTTCATTTCGTGTTCAAGAAATGATTGAACAGATATAGATGGAACCAGAAATCCATATCAAGAACCAAAGATATAGACCAAATTAAAAAAATGTATGTGGATCATTATTATTTAAACTAAGTCAATAACTTTGATTCACTAAACACAATTATTGCATTAAATTTTCAATGCTAGTCCATTCTGGGACTCAAAATTGTGTGTTAAAAGTATCAGAAATAGGGATTGACAAATCTGTTTTCACCAGTTTCTAAAATTATTGCGGCACATGTTTATATGGTGAAAGAATTTGTTTCAAATAATTCCAGGATCCATATGTATGGAAGTAAATTGATTTCAACTGTTTTAAATGAAAAATTATAAATGTATGTCGCTCCTGAATCAATACATTCTACATAGGATAATTCCTGTAGTCATTTCTAATTTATGAAATGTTTATAACTATGTACTATTGTTTGGAATTTTCTTAATGTTAGTTGAAAAATATCTTTATGCAACCTTTTGTAACAGGAAGAGAATAGTGTGCTTCCACCGGGGATCGAACCCTCAATCTCCAGGTTCCTATTCGGACACTCTACCACTTAGCTAAAGGGAAATTCCCTCTAGCTCAAACCTATTGAAGGTGACCTCAATCCTATGTACAATTAAAACCTGCCACACTTCAAACGCCAAGATCACAGAGTATCTAAAATTGTTTAATGTATATTGAAAATGTTAACTATATCTTGTCTTTATCTTTATTTGTGTTTGACCTTCAGACTTACCTGATTTTCAAGTGATAACAACTATTCAATGATTATATTCCTTATTTCAATACTTACTTGGATATTGATGACTCCGCAATACTTACTCGGATATTGATGACTCTGAAGTACTTACACGGATATTGATGACTCTGAAATACTTACTCGGATATTGATGACTCTAAGTACTTTCACGGATATTGATGACTCTGAAATACTTACTTGGATATTGATGACTCTGAAATACTTACTCGGATATTGATGACTCTGAAGTCTTTCTTTAATCCATGACCTACAAACAGACAACCCGCGTCTACCAGATATCTCAACTTCTGATAGGTGGATTTCAGTGTTGTTAGGTGCTTAGATGACACTGTGGGGTCGAGATCACCTGGCTTGATTCCCGAATACTGGGTCAAATAATCCACAACCTGGAACACAACAAAAGTGGGGATCACTTCCCTGTTTCATGTCAGACCTATACACCTGTGTAGGTTCGAAAACTCTTAGGGATCATGACAACTGTCTTCTAAGACAACTAGAAAATGTCTGTAAGACATAAATGCCCCCGCTCATGGATGGGACGCGACGGGACAGGACGCGACAGTACGGGACGGACATGGGCAACACTATATGCTCCCCCATTTGATGGCGGGGGCATAAAAATGAATGGCTGTCATGGTTGTTTATTAAAATTTAAATAATGAAAGATATCCAATACCATCATCATAGTTCTGTCTTCTGTTCTTTTAGAGTTTTTTTGAGTGTGAGTAGTCTCCCTTTTTTATAGATGATGATGTAATTAAATGGGGTTTTTTTCAGACTTACAGTAACTTCACCTGTCAAATTATTCATAGGTAATTAAAGACTTGTTATGATGCTGTGAATAAAGTTCATGAATGGCAACATTGGTTTAGTGAAGGCTTCACAATTTAAAGGTCCTGAGATAGACCCTTGCAGTTTTTCTTTTTTATTGGTATTATCAAACTTTAAACTTTTGAACAACTATAATTCTGTAAAATGCAAGGCAGCACTAGATTTGTTTGGAATAATTCTGTTGGAAAAGGACTAAAAGCAATATTTTGCAATAGTGACAATTGTTGTAATATATATAGTTTGATCGTGAGTTGGTCCTACCCCCTACCTTCAAAAACAAAAGACTGTGAAGGTAAAGTGAGAATTATGGCAACTGATTGAAATGTAACAAGATGACACCACAATGATGCATCACAAATGAAACATACTTGCTGTAGAAACTGTGATTTGTTTAGTTTTATTCATTATTATTACCTGACTCTCTAATTAAGTGTATATGAAGTATTTTTGACTGTTTTAATAAAAATTCCCTGGAAAAGACTGAAACCCCGTAAAGTAATGTCAGGGTGCAACAGTCGACTGTTGCACACTAACTGTTGCATGCGCGACACAATCGTGCGCAGACAATTTCCCCGTCGGCGGCCCCACTCAAGCGTCTTTTGGATACAGATTTGTTTGTTGTCGTCTGGTGAAAATGGCGAATAACAGCAGATTTGAGGATGTTTCTGAGCAAGATTTGGAATTGCTTATGGATAATAGGGACTCTCTTAATTAGTACAAAAAACGTCATTAAGGGAGCTGTGAATGTTTTGGATAAATATTGTGCAGAGAAAGGTGTTATGATCGACGAAACCTGCAGTAATGAAAACCTGAACGAGTTTTACGTAGAATTAAATCTTCTATCCTTTCATACAGTCATTTATCCTAACTCTCACAATGCAGGAATTTTCTTAAATAGAGAGTCAGGTAATAAATCATTTGTTTCATTGGTACTGAGGGAACAGTCAAATCCTTGACCCTCGTTAGCAGGGAAGACCTAAGGAACTGTTGCCCTCTGTCTTCGGCCTTGGGCAACAGTTCCCTAGGTCTTCCCTGCTACCTCGGGTCAACGATTTTGAGTGTTCCCCCAGAACCAATGAAACAATTGTATACTGTTAAGACAGTAACTGTTATACCAGTATGAAGAAAGTCCTTAAAGGTGAATACAAGCAAAATGTAATTTTCATCAAAAGTGAATGTTAGCAAGATGCAATTTTTATCATTTCTTGTACCTGTACAAAAGGTTGATTTATTTTTAAATATGGCAACATAATCTATGCCTTCTTCAAACGGAAACAGGTGCTTTGGGAGGGTTTCCATCTGCTTACCATCTGCTATTAGAAAGTCAAATATCCTGGCCAAGTTCAAAGGGGGACACCAAAACTCACCTCTTCACGTCTGCATTTTAGATTCCTTGCAAAGACGTCACGTAAAAACCACCCTTTTATTTATTTATTTATTTGTTCAATTATGTGCACATTGCTTGCTTAAATGTATAAAAGTGATTGTAAGCCTTTGTTTTTTTGTTTTCACAATTATAACCATTACTATTATCCATATGTTGTAAAGCGCTTTAGAGTAATTTTACAAATTATACAGTGCACTATATAAATGTTGTATATTATTATTAAACCTCATTACAAAGTACTGACCTGCTCCTGTGTAGATATGTAATCATCAATGAAGGGTTCTCCACTTTTTTCACCTTGCCTGTAAAGTAATATCAAAATGTTGTCACTCACTCTACAATTCTATTAGAACATCACGTACATATTTCTTGCTACTTGCGTTTTTTTCAAAGCTAAACATAATTTTCCACATAGTAAATTATAATATTCTGAAAATCATGAATGATCAAATCGGCCAAAAAGTATATGTCACATCATGGGTTACTCCACTTGCATTGAATACAGATGACAGGGCCGGGGTTCCAACCTTTTATGATTTTATAATTTAGTTGTTCATAATCTGTCCAACATGAAACAATTAAGTACCGATTGTCCATGAAAAGCATAGAACTTATCTTGGCACGCATAAAATATGATAGACACGTGTATAAAAGATTGGTGTGTATGTGAAGACTAAACAGTCACAAAACAATATAAAAATGGTGACCAACCCTCTGATACAGGAAATTCTGGCCACCGTCAGATGACTAGGTTTAATGGTGGACCTGGTGCCATCACTCCTCAGCTCTGATTCCTCCTGTGGTGTAGCGAATCACAGAAATATAATTGTACTGATATTGTTTAACCCTTTCACCACTGTAGACCGTATGGACTCATCCATATCAATGCATGGCAGAGTCTAGTGAAGTTACATAGGGGTGAAAGGGTTAATACAAATGATTTTATAATTTTGACCTTAAATAATTTATGGTAAAATAACATTTCTTGAAAAACACTGCTAAAGAAGAAATTAGTCTTTTTATTATTTAAACATTTAAAAGTTTCAAGACATCACATGATTTTAATTTTAGATTTTCAACAATCTTACCTGATTCAATGAAACAAACTCTGCATCAAGAGCGATTATGTCCCTTTCTTTTGGGAGCTCTTCTTCAGTTAGAGGTGTAAAGGACATCTTCCTCCGCTGCGGGTTGACTAGAGCGGTGTCATCAAATAGTATGTCAGCAGAGATGGGGTTCTTCACTGTCACAAGGAAAAAGGAGAAAAAATGAAAATTACTGCAGCAACTGTTGCACGTAGACCACTGTTACTGACATTACTTGTGTAATTATAATTAAACCTGTCATATGTTTGCTGTACGTAGGCCCAGAGGTAATCCTGTAATTCAAAGCAGTATTCGTTAGCAAATCACTGCAACAGAATATACTTTATTTGAAATAATATTCTCCTTCATATTTGTGACACTTATTATTTCTCAGAACTATTGATTAAACCAAAACAAAGTACATGTAGTATTGTTTTTCATATATCAGGAGACAATAATTAAATGGAAGTATAAGACCTACCTGGTATGTCGTAGTGTTTATGAACCTGTCTTCTCATGAAGTAAATTGTACAGGGAATCTTCCAGTCAAGGTTGAATTGTACTGCCTCATGCTGGGGAAAAAACACCCAGAAAGTTGAAAAGAGGCAGAAACCTGTATAGGACTCCTTCATAAGCATCAATTTGTAAATTTCTTCCAAGTACTTAATAACACAGTAAAAGTCATGAACTCATGATGTCTCAAAATATGTAATGTCCCAGTCAAAAAAGATGTTCAAGAACTTCAAGAATTTGAGCTTTGAAGTTAAAGATGGAAAATTATCAAAATGTTTTGTTATAATTATAATTCATTTATGTTCATCATTTAAAAAAAAGTAGTTTTTGAAAATTTTGATCAAACATGTAAGTTTTGATCAATTTAAAAAAAAGAAGATATAGAGCTATTTCAGATTATCTGCAGATCAGGTGAAACAAACTTTAATGATTGAATTTTAAGTAATAACAAATGCTGATCAAACATCAATGTTCTACGCTGCGTACTTGTCTTTAGTGCCGTGGTTACTTACCTTTTCTACAGGTGTGATAGAGAAGTCGTTGTAGAGATACCACTGAGTACAGGTGACGTTTTCCTTGCGGAAATGGTACGTCTCTCCGACATTGATGTGTGTCACCAGATTCCCGCCGGACTGCGAGTCCTTTATGTGAGCCACTGTTGCGTAAAGTTCGTAGTACTTGACATTGGGGTCTTCCTCCTTGGGCAAGGGTTCCTGTCCATAAAACATTTTTTTAAACATTAGACATTACAAACGTTTCAACGAAAAATTGTTATTTCTTCAAATACATTCTTCTTGAAATATCAAATACTTTTTGGTGTATCATAATTTGTTTTCCTTTGAATTTGAATAAAAAAATATTTAGTCCTCAGAAAAGATTGACATAATTTTTGGGTGAATTAACATTATACAGTGTTGTGTTCTGATCTATAGTCCTTTAATATTGAACAGTAATGTATTCTAACAAACGTTATGAACTTTTCTACAATCTTCTTTCATTTGGAAGAATATGACTAAAATGTATTAGGTTTAACTGGAATACATATAAACCCGCTAGCCTAATGTAAGAACTTTTTAAAAAATCCAGTAATCTCAAATTTGATATTGACGTCACAACTGTAATTTAACCTCATTACATGAATGCATGGTTAGGGTCTCACAACATTTGGATTGTACTAAGGTAGTGGGTTAACTTAACTGTCAACTACATGGGTCCAAAGTAAGGGCTGTTGTTAAAACACTGTGGGCGGTAGTTGCTTCACTTACGAAATATTTGGTAAAGTCAGGTGACTATTTTATTTTAACATATTTCAGATGTCAAGATTAGATTCTCAACAGCCACATGCTTGACATTTCTACATATACCATGTTCAAAATGCATAGACTAGTTGGACAAGAGTTGTGTGTTAATGAATTAACAGGGTCGGACCCTAACACGTCGGATGCTGCTTTCTGATTGGCTTTAACTTGGTAAGGCCATCAATGGTCACCTGTCTTGATCCTCGATTACTTTGTAATTCATGTTTTAGCAGAAAAGCCAACCATTTTTCATATTTGACTAAAATGACCTGGATTTAAATGTACCCATATTAGCTAGACAAACATTCCTTCAGCAAGTAATTATGCTCAATAATATATTTGGAGAATTGAATCTAGCATAATACATACATTTCATTTCAGTTTAATAATTCAAAAAAACATTATGAAATATTGATATGTAAATCTATCATTACATACATCATCTGGAATTTCCACTAATTCCACCCTTCCTTCGTTCGTTAGCGTCACTTTGAGGCCCATGGGAATCCAGATTGAATTCATATCTTCTTCTGGTTCCTTATCCTTATCTCTGCAATAAAATCATGAATCACTGTAAATGTGATTATATACACACACACACATACTTCATGAAACGTATACAATTTTGTAAATAATTATAAGATTTATAGATCTGCAATGAAATGCATTTAATACCTGAAAGATAGGTTCTGGACAATTTTGTTTTTATTAAAGTAACATTGACCTTGACCTTTCACAAACCAAAACCAAAATAATTAGATTTTTAATTTTTTCCCCCCCTAGGGCATTCAACATAAAAGTCTGGACTTTTGTGTGATAGTCTTTTCTTTATAATTGGAACCTTGACAAAAAATCAATTAATTGACTTTTGACAAACAATCACCAAAATCAATATGGTTCTTTTCCTTCTCTAAGACAACCCACATATGAAGTTTTAACTTTGTGTAATACATTTATGTAGTTTGTTCTGAAATGACCACCAAGACTGGTCATTTGCTTTGTCAAATTCCACTTTTTGTTAGTGACATTGACCTTTGATGGACAATGCTGAAAATTAACAGGATTCTTTCTCTTTCTTTCTCTTCCCTAATGCAACTCGCATACAAACACTGATCTTTGTGTGATTATATGTTCTGAAGTAAGGATCAGTAAAGTTAGGGAGTTCGTTTTTTTTGTAGCAGTGACTTTTTCACCGGACATCCCTCATCGATAGAAATGCACTTAAGACCTACGTACCCATGGCCAGGTTCGTGTTTGAAGCGACATCCTTTTCGGGTACAGGAGCGTCCGTAGCGACACATGACCTGGGAGGAGCTAGACATGAGGGGGGAGGAGTTTGTACTGGACAGGCTCTCCCCAGACTCCTCCCTCTGTTGCTTGATCAACTACAAACACCAAAACAAGGATCAAATACATATACAGCATACAGCATACAGCATACAGCATACATATACAGCAGACAGCATACAGCATACATATCCATATACAGCATACAGCATTCAGCATACAGCATACATATCCAGCATACAGCATACATATCCAGCATACAGCATACAGCATCCAGTATACATATACAGCATACAGCAGACAACATACAGCATACAACATACAACAAAAATATACAGCATACAGCATACATAGACAGCATACAGCATACAGCATCCATATACATATACAGCATACAGCGTACAGCATACAGCATACATAAACAGCATACAGCATACATAGACAGCATACAGCATACAGCATGCATATACAGCATACAGCATGCATATACAGCATACAGCATACACACACAGCATACAGCATACATAAACAGCATACAGCATACATATCCAGCATACAGCATACATATCCAGCATACAGCATACATATACAGCATACAGCATACATATACAGCATACAGCATACAGCATACAGCAAGAACAGGATAATAACAAATACCAGATTTATTCTGAAACAATATACCATATACTGTGAAAATGGAATTTTTTGCGGTGTGGAAACTAAAATGTGAAAATATCCACAAATGAGTAATTTTATTAATAGGTTATATAGATTATAGATCTATAAAAGATTTAAGAACCATGAAATTTACGATCCTTTGTTAGCTTGTGAAGATACATAATTACATTTTTTTTGTAATTTTATAGTTTATAGCTTATTTTTTTCTTTAGATCACAATATTTCTGCAACTGATTTTGTCCAAAGTTCAGTTAATGGGATCAGCTACAAACAGGAAAACATTATCACACAATAATAACTTGTTCAAACAAAAAACAAAATCTAACACAGAGCTGGCCGGGCAAGTGTCACATTCTATATCTTGATTAAAAAATTATTTCAAATCTAAATTTTGGAAAGAGGTATATATTTCTTTACATTTACAGCTTATAAATAACTCGAGAAGAAATCTTTGATAATTGATATACTGCATATATGTATAAACATATCCATCTGTGAAACTGATTCTCTTTTTCTATGTTTAACTTACCATTTGTTGAATAAGCCAAAATTCAAAATCTCTGACATTTTCCAGTCCACAATTAAATGCCAAAATATCAGGAAGATTCTGTATAACCTTGAGCCGAGTCTGAAAAATAATGTCAAAGAGATATAGAGCTGAAGAACTGAAAAACTGAAAAACACAACTAAGATTAATGTAAATTGATGGAAACATCACAACTTAAGTCAAATTCATGTAGCATTTATCAATTTTACTTGTCTCATAGGGATAAAGAACCATTAAAGCTAAACAGGGTATTCCACAAAAGTTCAGAATAAAGATACAAGTTCTTTCAGTCTTTTTGAAATTAAACATTAATTAGAAAATGGTTCATTACAATCCCAGTGTCATCTCCTAATATAACATCTACACTCAAATTGAATTCTAAAATAAGTTTCTCGCCAATCTTCCCCATGTTTAAAATGTAAGTATATATCTGTTAGAGACTACAGTACGTACGTGGGGTTGGTAGCGACTACACTCGTTACACCAGGCTTGTGTCGTCTGCTCCATCATCATACTATGCCTTAACACCTGGGCAAACGTGAACATCACTGGCGGCTTGTTAGGACCTGCAAAATTCAGATACAAGTGTTACAATTAATACTTCATTTTTAAAGTTATCATTTTGGACACTGAGGTGCAATCACAACATGACCTAACATACTAAGTTAACGATGCTGTATTGAGTTACAACATATTCTAAACGCGGACCAGTTTTAATTTGCCTTGGGGAGAGCTTTTTGTTTGTTTGGTTGTGTTTTACGTCCTATTAACAGCTATGATCATTTAAGGACGTGTCAGGTTTTGGTAGTGGAGGAATAGCCGGAGTTACTGGAGAAAAACAACCGACCAACGGCCAGTACCTGGCGACTGCCCGACGTAGATCTCGAACCCGCGACCCAGTGGTGGAGGACTAATGGTAGCAGAATGTCAGACACCTTAACCACCGCGGCCTATTAGGCATGTTACACCGTGACTGTAGTGGTTTATGTGCTGTGTGTACACCGTAAAGTAAAATTAGAAACTTTTCACGTAAATGTTTTACTTTAGATATTGACTATGTTACCTGGTGGAGAACAGTCAGGGTAGCAGAGGTTGATGAGAGCATTGTCGGAAGTCTTCTGCGTCTCCAGGCCACACCGACATTTCAATGTGGTCACCATCTTCAGGTGCATTAGACTGGAGAGAACTGACGTCTCGTCATATCTGTAAATTCAAAATAAGCATAAAATCAGTGAATTGTAATTACACAATTCAAATCATCAGTATTAAAGCACTACTTGTGTTTTATACTGTTGACAATACCGTATACTGACACAAACTTTCGCCCTTTAAACTTTTGCCCTTAACTTGTAAAATTCCGCATTTGCCTAGCATTAGTTGGCCCTACACATGGTAGGACTATAGATAGTGTGTTGTGTATTAATATCAGGCTGTCCGAGTAAATTCACTCTCATTAAGGAAGGCAAAATTTAAAGGTGATATAGTTATAAAGTGCAGTAAAAAACATACTGGTACATACATTATCAGGACAAGGATATGCCTTAACCAGATCTATGGTAAGAAAGCGCAGCTTCTGAATAAATAATTTCAGGTAAGCTATTGCATTGCTACCGGAGTCAAAGAAATACATCTGTATGATCATATCAAATAATATAAGCTATAACAAATAATGTAAATATGCTTTACTTTTAACCATAATGCACTTCATCATGCAAATAAAGAAGAACTTCCATTTTCCTAGTATACAAAGGGCACAACTGCATGATGAACCAGCCGCTCTTATTTCATAGAAAGTTTTCGTTGGAAAAACTGTTTTTCTTCGATCGAGAGCGAGAGCGAGAGAGAGAGAGAGAGAGAGAGAGAGAGAGAGATAGAGACAGACAGACAGACAAACTTATACTATACCATTCCATAACCCCAATTGACCTTGTTGCAGGGGTGTTACCCACACACATTATCATCTACATCTCTTTTAATTCTAAACTACCAGAAAAATAATTTGGAAATAAGATGATCTGCGCAAGGAACGTACAACTCATCAACAGATGCGTCCTGTAGTTCCTTCTCATCCCCTTGGGAGCCTGATCGATCTTTATCTTCTTCCTCTGTTGGCTCTTTTCCTTTCTTCTTCCCTTTCTTCTTCTTCTTCTTCCTTGACTTTGGTGGCGTAGTTTCTGTGGGTTTGTCAGAGGACTTTTCGTCCTCCGTTTTATTCGCTGCCTCTGTAGCATCCTCTCTCGGATCATCAATTAGCACTCTTTGGAGAATTTCCTGATGGTACAGAGTTAATTTTACTGTTAATCAAATGAATAAATATATATGGACTATGATCTGAATATAGAGGTAGATATATGCCTGCGTTCAGAATAAACTAGTTAAACTAAGTTAATTTCCTGATGGCACAGAATCACTTTAACTGCTAATCACTATAGTACTATAAGCAAACCCCATTTTGCTAGATATTCTCTTAACCCCATTTTGCTAGATATTCTCTTTTGTTGATTTATGATTAGCAGAAAAAACATTGTATGCTATTTCAAACGTTTGATGTACTTTTATTGAGGTATTGGAATTTAGTTTAATGCGAGTCAATATTTAATTTTAACTCTTCTTGCGATGATCAGGAAGTGTGGTCGGGTGGTGCAGTGGATAGCGCACTTGCCTTTCACCAAGGCGGCCGAGGTTCGATTCCCCGATCAGACGTGAAAAGGTTGGGGTCACCTACCTGACCACGTGGGTTTTCTCCAGGTTACCTGTTTTCCTCCCACACTAAGACACTCCCCACACGCTAACATCCGGGCCAAGAGTGATGAATATAAGTTGAAATAACTTGTTTCATAATTGTTGTTAAATAAAAAAAGTTTACAATGATCAGGAAGTATTTCTCTCGTAACTAAGTCCAAGACTCAGGTTAAGGAATTGATGTCAGGTCGCCTCAATATGGATAACATATTTCAGTATTTTATTAACTGGGATTTTTTTTACGAAACTTATAAGACATGACTTAGCTGGCAATTGACTTACAGAGTGAATTTGTGGGAACATAAAGCGCTGCCAGCTTTGTATAAGTCTAGACAAGTTGATGTGGCCTTCATTTTCCTCGTTCTCTGCCAGAACCAATCCCAGAGCTGCAGCCTCCGGAATGGTGCGGAACGCACGGAGGAAGTTACTAGCCTGAAATAGATTTTATGACGAGCTGGTGAGTGTAACAATGTAGTATATAAGAATCGAGAAAACATTTTATCACCAAATTTCTCCAAAGACGAATGTTGAAAGGTTGTAACTGCAACTTGAAATTTTACTATACAGTTTAGGAGCTTTATTGTCATTAAAGTGATTATAAATACTGAACAGAATTGGATCACAAGTTGCAAAGTTGAGGATAATTCTTAGTAATTTCAAAATTCTTACAGTCAGCAAAGCAAGAGTAACATGTTAGTTTAATTCTTAATAATGCATACAACGTTTTATTTGAATTTCAGGAAAATAATCCTGGTACATTTCTGAAAAAAAAAAAAAAGAAAAAAAAATTGATGGAAGATGAACAACAAGGCAAATCTGTTTTTTTTAATAAAAGAAAAAATGGCTCAACTGACATTGTATTGTCAGTCTGAACAGTGAACAATTTTATTGTGTTTTAAACAGAACGTTTGGAATGGCCATGCTGCTCACAAAAAGTCTACCTGAGATGCCTGGCCTTTCTGCTTGTCCAGCATTTGGAACAGGAAACCTAGCTCACAGGACAAACAGAACTCTTTCTCACACAGATGACTCAGTAAGGTACATCGGAGTGGCTCTATGAAGTACAGAACCTGAAAGGAAAGAAAATCACAAACATATAGCACAAATGAAACTTCAATATTGAAAAATATTACAACAAATTAAAGCTTGTCAAAACTCATCAAAATCATTCACAAAAATCATCAAAATTATTGACAAATTTGATCCAGTATAATCTTTTTAATTATAATGGCTTCAAATTTCAACCATGACTGTCTTTTAATTTATCAGCCATACATAAAATGTTCAATCTTAACCTTCGAATGTTATCTTCAAACCATTAACTACAAAAAGTCATGTGGTACCAGTATCTTTCATTTAATATTTGACAGCTTATACCTTGCAACATACATTTCATTATTTTTGGTTAAATTTCTCAGAAAATGTTCAAAACACAATTATCTTATTTACATAACCCAGTGATATACTTGTCAAAGAGGTACAACAAACCTATATATATATATGTACCACACCTTACTTTGAAACTTGATTGCTTTCGATTTCATACATGTACATTTATTGCCTTCTGTGGTTGTCCACTGTCACATGTACAGTTTACTTTTTTTCTACCATTCAGCCATGTATATTTAGGGCTATTCATTGTGACAGCTTAAGCATCAAATGTAAAGTGCATAAGAGGTCCTGAAACAAATCCTCTTTAAGCATACTACTTTTACCATACTAATTTCAGTAATATCAAGAATTTATCTATTGTTGTAAATATTTATAATGGCAGAATGACCATACCTGGAGCATACAGTTGCAGTATGCATTAGGAATATGTGTTTCCAGTCCAGCAAAATGTGTTTTGTTGTAAAGTCTGAAGTCAAAATCCTCAAGACCAAGTTTAGAGTACTTCAGATCCACTTTTCTAAAGCGTTTGGGAACCACAGGGAAGGGATCGTCACCTGTTCAAACAGAAATAAATAATTTGTAAGCAAATGATGGAAAAATTAAGTTACGATTTATCCATGTTTTTGTTACTGTGGATATTTGTTTTTTTTACATCTGTTAACATTCAACGGGTATCTAACTCTATATCGGCCTGTGACCACTATTATAGACAACTTGTATTATCAATTGACCAACTCCTACACACAAGTATTGTTACTGACAATGCTGGAGAAGGTAGGTAGTCATCCTTGATACTCCAGGGGTTACGTCCACTTTTGCTCTCTATATGCCATTGGAATATGTTATAGCAAAATTGAAGTCACTTGATCATGACTAGCAATTTTCTTGGTCTCAGGTAAAAAAAAACAAAAACTGACCAATCACTAAGGCTGATACCTGTCCTTTGAAGATTACAGAGAAGCGACACCCGACTTCAAAGTCAGTCAATTTTACCATAATCCGACCAACAGATTCTTTTAGTGTACATCAAAGGATCAAACTAGTCTTCTCATCTCATCGAAAACATGGTTCACACTGATCATGAGCCTTTGATTTTGCTATGACATATCCCAGGGGTGCAGAGAGTGTAAGTGAGTGTAAACCCTGGAGTAGCAAGGATGATGTTAGGTAGTAGACAAGAAGGCATTCAAATGTCAGAAAACTTCACCTGTTTATCAACAAGAACACTGATAATTATAAGTGTGCACCTGCAGTCTGTCTGACCATATCATTTCATAGTTCCACAATAATCACGGAGTAGAAGACAAAGCGATCATCCTGAACTTTGGAATATGACTAATGAGGATTACACATGAATGTCATATATGACCAGGACAAGTACCACGTACCAAAAGTATTAACGAAATAAGTCGAACAGAACTGAAGTTACAGCTCAGAAGGTCAGAAGTCATGGTCATTTTTGTGGATATAACGGGATCAGATTAAATTACACGTCCTTATTCACCACCAAGGTATCATTTACATCCAAGTATCAATAAAATCTTACCAACAGAACAAATATCAAAGGGGTTCATAGCCATATTATATGTCTCAACCGACCATTAGTGACTAACTGCATTATTGACTTTGGAAATATAGCAAGTACAATTTACAATACAATCACATTGAGCACTGATATAAAGTCAGAAAGGGCTACACGATGTTTCAGCAGTTTGTCTGTCATCCATTCTACATTTCTAGTGATAATTCTGCGGAAAAATGATCATATCCTCCTTCTTGTATTGATTTTTGGACATACTTCTGTAACATTTTGGTAAAGCTGGAAATTATTATCGATCTTTTAAACCTCCTTGACCTTATTTTGTGACCTTTTACCTCGACCTACTGGTGATTCAGGGACACCAGATTTTCCTTTCTTCTTTTCGGTCTTCATCAAGTATGGGGTTTGATTCCGACACTCCTTCCCGAGGTTTTTAGCATAACCAACATTGTGTTGGATTTTCATGGAACGCAATATTTCGGGGTCAATTTTCCTTGGCTTTCTGTGACAAAAATAAAAAGAATAGGCTCAAGTCATTAATTTATTGAAAATCAGCCTTTCATAAAAAAAATTAAGAAATATATGGTTGATGAAATTTATGTTAATGCCTGTTCGTAACCTAACTTTTAAAAAAAAAATGGAACAAACACTAGTACTGTCTTGCATACTAATAGTCAACAAATAATATGTTAACACTACATCAACTATATAACAACATATTACTATGGTATCTATATTTTATATTTGATTAAAACATTGACATAACCCTTTCACCCCTAGGTAACTTTAGTAGACTCTACCATACATTTATCTAGATGAGTCCATTTTGGTCCACAGTGGTGAAAGGGATAAACATAAACATAAACCAGGATCCCTACCGCCACTATGGAACTGACTTCCTTGCAGGGATGTTGGGTCTACACCCCCCTGTCATTGACATAAACTGATAAGATTTAATTAAAAACATGAATAATTAAGCAACACTGTATACCTACCAGTTTAATTAACATTTTACCTTGAAGTGTCACTTCCATCTCATGATCACCTAGGGTTAGTAAATACCTATTTGTCGGAATAATCAACATTTCGCTCACCTGTAAGCCCTCTCACACAGGTGGTCGGGCCATTCTGACAGCAGAGTTCCATTGGTAGGGTAGACCATTGGGATGATAGACAACGGTGTCATCTCATCTGTGATAGAAATATGCTGCAGAGGCTCCAGCTGACAAATAAAATGATATTGGTGAACTGATATTGTTTGAAATACCAAGCAAGACGTAAAGCAGATCCTTCCAAGGGTGGGGCTGGACCCTGGAGCCAATCCTAGTTGCTTGACTTTGTTTTTCCTTCATAGACATTAACTGTATATATAATACTAACGGGTGGAAACTCAATCAATTCCATGTTATGACCCAAAGACTAAGCCTAGTTGGGATCAGTATCATTTTGAAGTGGTACAGCTATACACCTGAAATTCTTCAATTGGAACACCAACCAAAATATGCACGCCTAAAAGATAAAAACTATCACCCTCAGATCAAAAATACTTATTTGAAATTTGATATTAGTATATCGTTTAGCAATTGAACACGATTAACTGTGTTCAAAAGTAAATCTTTACCAGATACACAGGATTAAACATTCCCCCTCAGTCAGAATTTTCCTATATCATATATATACAGATTGCTAATAAAACCTTTGGCAGATTTTCAGGAATAATTCTGACCTGCTCTGTCAAAATGGGTTAGGATTAAACCCTTACGAACCAGGGGTAAAAAGCTTGGCAAAGATGTTGGATAATCTGACCACCTGTCAGAATGTCCCTACACAGGCAAAATTATTTTTAAGTAAATTTGACAAGAAAAAAATATGACTGGTCAAATTCTAGTTATATGCATGTCAATTTCACATTTTTTTTTCTAGGTCAGTTTAATGTCAATTTCAGGTCAAATTGACATGAAAAAAAATTCATGTCAATTCATGTCAAATTTCATGCCAATTTGAGATTAAATTTTAAGTCACTTTGACCTGAAAAGAGTAAGAAAAGCCGATTTCAGGTGAAAAATTAACCAGAAATTGACCTGACAAAATCACCATGATAGCAAAAATTTACCTGAATTTTTATCTGAAATTGACATACAGAATTGTTCATGCCAATTTCAAGTGAATTTTTTTTTTTTTGCTCTTTTCAGGTCAGATTGATTGACCTGAAAATTTGACCTAAATTTGACAAAGGAATTTTGCCTGTGTCATATACACATATTGTCTATCAATCTCACATGGTCAGCAAACTCGGGGGGATGGTGATAGGTGTTGAAGGTCGCTTGCTCTCCTGTCGCAAATAGGTGCAGATAACCTACAGGGAACAAAAGTGTAACTTGAAACACGCCTCATTTTCTTGACTTAACCCTTTTTTATAATTAACAAAAAGTACCTTGATCACATATCCAAGTTAACAAATATTTACCAATCTGTATTTAATTTACAAACCAACTATTTTATTGTGGTTTTATATATTTTCTTTAAAGCAACATCAAATCTGATTTTTTTTATCGTAAGCTTACCGCCGGTGTCGCCGAAGGCAAGGGCCTGGCAAGAAGAAGAGATATCAAAGCTAGTGATGTAACCCTGGGTGTTGATGGGATACATCATCAAAGCTGAGGGAGTCATGGCTGTCGTCTCAATCACCTGGAATTGTCCTGCCTGCAACACAAACCCATCCATACAGAAACTGTATTGTAACAAGTAGGGCTGTCACAATATATCGGAAAACAGGTATATCGCAATACACAGGTATATCGTATTGTACCACAATAATTTCTTTAAAAGCTTATTTTTATGTATCTCATTCTGCTTGGTGTTTTAACTTTGCAAATTACTACAAATTCTTACAGATATGCTAATAAGCATAAAACAGACTTTTAATAGTGGTGGGAATTAGTTCAAATTTTGTAATCGATGGTTGGTTTGACAAAAATCTTAAATTCCTGTGATCCATATTACATGTGATTAAGTTTGATAACATTCTGACAACAACTCATTATAAAATCGAGCACATCTTTCCTATGACAATATATATATCGGGATACGTATCGCAATATATTCATTCTGCATTGCAATCTATCGGGATACACTCTTGGCGTATTGTGACACCCCTTGTAACAAGAGACACTCCTTATAACTTGTCCAGGTTTTATGAAAGACAGGATAATGCAAGTAGAACCTGGTTATTCAAGAGCTGTTGGCAACAGCAAACCTAGGTTGAGCCAACAAATAAGTACAGCATAGATAAAACCTTTGTTATAGGGTTTTGTATCGTACTGTATTTATAACTTATAAAATAAATTGTTTCTGATTGGCTGAGAGTATTCATACCATAATCACCAAATTTTACCAAAATCAGATGATTTCCATGTTCTAAATATAAAAGTTAGGAACACTCCTAGGAATTTTTCTTTTTGTGATAAAACATTTACGGACTTTTTTTATACTTGTCGAATATGCAGTGATATTGACAGAGGTGAATATTTTCTTTGGTAAATATATATATCACAGCATGCATGCTAGTAAAACTTTCAGAATTGTACAATATTTACCTGTGACACGAGGGCTATTCGGTTACTAAATGAAGGAATGAACTTGAGAAACATGGGATCTATGACAACTTGTATAGGAGTCATTGCCCTCATCACTCGCATATCATATACCATCAGGAAGCGGTCCGCAGTCATATTATTCAGTCTGAAATAATATCATAAACAAAATGTGCTATAGGTATGTCTTTCACTTATGAATTAGGATCTTCGATTCAAAAGCGTTAATCCCTGTGTTTTACATTATTGTATGAAAAATACCATTAAAAGATCATGGTGTCGGTTGAAAGACAAGAAATCAATGACATCCTTATGATAAGTAATTACAGAATGTTGATTTATTTTTCAATTTATTGTGTCAACTACACAGCAGTTTAACTCATTCACCCCTGGCATTTTATAATGAACTATTCCAGCCTTTGAATTTAAATAGGTGTATTACAAGAGGGGTTTGAATTACAATATATAGTTGGTCGAGTCAAGTCAATACGAGTATTTGTGTGTGGTGGGGGTTAAAATTACAGCCTTCCTTCTCCCTATACCTTCCTATACGTTTATTTCTGCAGAACCTTTAATAAATCTGCAGGAATGTGAACTGTATGTGGCATAACTGATTTTTATACAGTAATTGTAGAGGTGCACCAAAAAATCTGTAATACCGACCCATAAAGCGCACTTACCGAGTGGAAAAGCCACAGGTGACAAGCAGATTGCCCTGGACATCAAAGTCAGACAATGTCCCGGTATGAGCATCCAGTACATGTTCGGCATTCATGGTGTTGGGGTCATACAAGGTCACCTATATACAATGACAAGGTTAAGGTCACAAGAAATCTACATATCCTACATCCTCGATATCCAGGGGTTACGTTCACTTTTGCTCTCTGCACCCCTGGAATATGTCATAGCGAAATTGAAGGCACGAAGATAGCTGTTTGATTGGTCTCAGGTAAAAGAAACTCACCAATCGCTATAGGCTGATACCTGTCCTTTGAAGATTACAAAGGAGAGACGCACGACTTCAATGCCTGTCAATTTTTACCGTTACGTGACCGCGAGATTCTTTTGATGTATATCAAAGGATCAAACTAGTCTTCTTGGCCCCCATTCCCTAGCCTCTAGGGCAAGGACAGATAACATTTTCTCATATCACCTAATTGCCATATCATCACAATTATTCCCTACTGTAAATGGACAAAATATGCTCAAAAGTGTTATTTCCTGATATGAACTGTAGTAAACTTGACCCCCCCCCNACCCCTGCCAAAAAAGTGTTATTTCCTTATATGAACTGTAGTAACCTTTACCCCCCTCCACAAAGGAGATCGGATGACCCACTTATTTCCACACTTTTCTTAGATAAATTGTATTCTTTGATGTGTTCCATTTCTATTTTATTCAACTGTTCTGATAAAATATGCTGGATCAAAATCGTGAAAGGGTTCTATTTATATAATATAGTAGTGTCACCTTGCACACACATTGAACAAATGATAACCAGTTTGAACGGTAATGCACTTTTCATACCTAGAGAGACCCATACGCGTTATTACCAAGCAAGTACATTCTAAAATGAGAATGACAAGAGATTGTCACTGGGGAAGATCTCAAAACCAGAAAGAAAAAAAGAAAAAAAAAATCTTAAAAAATCTCCATTGAAAACTTTTTTAACTTGCACTGTCAGCTTTAAAGTGTTATTTCTCCATATAAACTATAGTAAATTTTACCCCCTCCCTGAGCTAGGGAGATTGGATGACCAGGGGTACTGAAATTTACACTTTAAATAAAGCCCCTAATGATCTTTCCATCCAATTTGCAGAGAAATTGACTGCAGTACACCTGATCATGAGTCTGGAGAAGAAGATTTTTGAAATTTTGGTTAACTTTCCCTTTTGGGCCCCACCACATAGCAGCTGTTGAACTCACCTTACCGCCGGTGTCGCCAGCACATATGAACTTATTAGAACTTCTAAAGATAGCACATCCTGGCTCTGGTATGTCAATCTGCAAATATAAAACTCTTACTTCTACACAACAGATAAACACTGAATCAATAGTTCTGTGAACGCTAATTATATGTCTGGCTTCAACATATGACAGCTATTTAACCAGATTTTACATGTCTGTTAATTGTGCGAGTCTATAGCTGTGTCGACAATTTCACACCTTGGAGTTGAGGTGTCCTGGGTGACAAGAAAACGCTTGTTAAAAGACAGCTATTTTTACACATTATCTGTATACATGTATGAGACACAGTGCACAATGTGTTTTCTAATTCCTGAACAGGTGCTTACAACAACACCGACTTGGTCTGGTAGTACTATGTGTGAGTGTTTTCTCTCACTCTGATTGATAACATATGAGTACTTGTTTATCTCCAGGTTTACACATATTATTTTGTCCATCCCCTGACTACACCACAGCCACTGTATACAAATTGTATGCCTGTTTTTTGTTTTTCTAATTAACATATTCTTTATTGAGCCCCAGTTGATATTATGCTAAGAAAATGTTATCACCTCATCTGTTTTCCAATAGCCACAGTACACTTAGGTGAGGAAATTATAAAAGAGCTGTCCATCTTCTGGTAATTCATTTATCTTGTGCTTTATAATAATTTAAAGAATTATACTGTCAATTTATAGGTAAATTTATAGGTGATTGAATTGCATAGATTATATAGCAGGAAAAACGGTGCATCAAAAAAACATGATAATAACCGAAAAGTGACATTAACAGACGTGATATTAGGTGAAATGTACTGTACTATATATATGCGATGTACAAGATTATGTTTCATTCATGATGTTATTATTATTTGGTATTTCATATCACTGATGTATCAATTATACGTTGTCGTGTATGCTTAAGAGCTGTAAGGCTTCAAGTTGAATAAAGAATAAACAAACAATAAACAATGACATTACATACAGGTATTTTACAGGTAGCATCAGACAGGTAACATAAACATCTTTGAACATAATTTATGGGATCTTCTATCAATCCTTCAGGTTTCTTTGTGCTACTGTTACTATTCAACAATATCTTCAATATAATATATAGGATACATTTTATTTCTGGAATAAAAACTTCAGACAAGTGAGATATTTTATGAGTGATGTATACCGTTCTGATTTCCTTGAGCATCTCAAGATCTAACTGGAGAGCCTTGGTTTGATGGCCACCGATCAGTACAGAATGGTTATTGGTCATCAGCATACATTGCATGTTATGCATATGGGCACCACTGAAAAAATAAAATCGTCAAAAAAAAGGAGAATTATTTACATCTCAGACATTGATAAGAGTATATATTTCCGGATTAGAATGTTTTGATACGGGCCTAATTTTTAAACAGAGTTGAATAAAATATTATCATAAGCTGCTTTCACTAAATATTTTCAACATACTTTACATGTACAAAATCCTGATGAAAGTGAGAGTCTCAACATCGAAAATGGAAAAATATACTACATAGTAACTTATTTTCTTTTTGCAAAACACAAAACTTTATCATTAAAGATTAAATTCTTCTGTTAAGTAATCAGTTTTTCTGTTTTTTATTTAATTTTTCCAAACAAAATAATAACCAGCAGTTGACAGAGCTGAAAAAATTAATTTTGTATAAATGTTATCTTACGTATACGTAAATACAGATAGGCCGCGCCTGAGTGAGCAACGAAGACTGCTCTGGGTAAGGGACAAGATGCCACGCTCAACAGGAAGGATCTGTCGAATATCCTCGGAATTGTGGATTTGAAACGAAGTGTACTTCTGGAGCTCTGTACCATAGTAGGATGTCACATGACCCTGGGAAAAAGAAAAAAAAAATATAAAACAAATGCAAACATTTGACATGTTCTAATGAAAAAAACCTTGCATAACAATACCTCTATATCTATAACAGGGATGTCCCATTTCTTGATATACCCAGGGAACATAAATAATACCTGCTATCACAAGAGCATCATGGATATTTTATCACATAAAAACAGATAATGGAGAAAAGTCAAATACCATTGCCTGAAAATACTAATGTCATCCACATGTATCTTTTGATTTGATCACATATACCTTATCCTACAATATTATCTGATCATGGACTTTTGTGACGATGTGTAGGGTGTGATATTAACCAGTAAAAGTGATGCTGAGTGAGGTTTTCAGGAAAGTTTGACATCCAGAGATGATAACAAGGGGTATATAATATTTAACATTGTGCTTGAAATTCTTGGTAGAGACCAATTAAAACATTCCTACAAAACACTGGCGTCACTTTTTAAAACTTACCCCTTGGTTTCCCATCCACAGAAGGTCCTGAGTGTCAAAGCACAAGTGTGAAACACCAAACCTATCTCCTCCATCCACTAGGATGCTCTGGAGCTCTGAGTAGGGGCCAATATCATGGTGTGACGGCCCTGGCTGGTACATACTGTTGTCCTGTACATTAATTAGACGAAATCTGAGTTCAAAGCATATTCATACTATATAAAATATTATCATTGGGAAACATAACACATTAATATATGATCATCACACAGAGTGAATGGAAAGGCATATCTTAACTGATGATGAGGCTGCTGAGAATGAATTAAATTACTCATTATATAAAATGGATTATAGATCTAGAAATTACATAATCAAATTGACCCAAGTAAACAAGTGAAAGAATAAATAGAAAGATCAACGGTCATGAAAAAGTTTAACCTCAGATGTCGTACCGACAGACCAATAGAAAAGACAAACACCGCTGCTGTGACCTTTGACCCAATGACCTCAGAATTTTGTCACAATTTGGCTTGCATCAATGCTCCAAGATATGTGTATACAAAATACCTACCATTGCTGCAGTAATTAGCCATTTCAGTAACAATATGCATCCATGACCTGTGACCTTTGACCTAATGACCTCAGAAGTTTGTCACAGTGTAGCCTGCACAATTGGCTATGATACTGTAATGTATATGCGTATACAAAATATCTACCATTTCCAAGATAATTGGCTTTTTCAGTAATGTAATTCATTCATGATCTATAACCTTTGACCCCATGACCTAGGAAGTTGTCAGTAGAGTAGCTTGCATTAATACATTATGTACCTACATGTACAGTATTCAAATGTATATGTGTATACAAAATACCTAACGTTTCTGAGATAATTAGCCATTTCAGTAACGTAATAAATTCATCTGTGACCTTTGATCCCAAGACCTCAGAAGTTTGTCAGTAGAATAACTTACATTAATCCCTACAATATTCCACTGTACATGTGTATACAAAATACCTACTTTTTCTGAAAAATTTAGGCATTTCACTAAGTAAACAATTTGTGACCTTTGACCCCTCAGAAGCGCCTACAACATTCCATGTATCCTATGCATACAAAATACCAACAGTTTCTGAGATAATTAGCCATTTCAGTAACGTAATGTATTGTCTGCAGAGGTTCAGGGCCATAACTCTGATAAATATTGAATGAACAAAATGGCGTTCAGGGAGATACAAGTTCATTTGAGGCTTAACGTGTGTGCAAAGTTTCATCAAAATCCATGCATAAACCTAGGAGGTGTATAAGGAGGTACATATGATAAATTTATTGTCTAGACAGACGGATGGACAGACACAAATTTATTGTCTACAGACAGACAGATGGATGGACAGACAGACTGATTCCAGTATACCAGCCCCTAACTTTGTTGCGGAGGGGTGGGGGGTATACTCATTAAACAAATATATGTGCATTACAAGCACATGTAGATGATTCAATAAAATGACACTCACAGTTGGTTATATACAAACTGTTCAATCATGATCATGACCTGCATATGAAATAATTGATTATTGATACACAAAGTTCATGTTGTACATTATATTTGTTATAATTACATGAGGAGTTGGTTGGAAGTGTTCCTCCAGCATCCCTGGGGCCATCATTGGGTCTCCTCCATGTCCCATTACGTCGGCGGGACCGCCCATTGGTGGAGGGGTTGGGTAGCCATGACCGTGAGGTATCCCATTGAAATCCATGATTTCACAATGTTGTTACGGTGTCTGACTGCAACCAAATATTACAATCTGTTGGCTTCCTGTACGTACATATGTAAGAATTTCAATAGAATTTGTCTTGTTTTCATGTGTTTAGAAAAATACCGAAGTATTGACCAATAATATTACAGCAAAATAAATAAACCAAACAAGTTCTGTCTTAATTATAGTAAATCATTCTGACACTACCAAATTTTGAGTGCAATAGTGAAATAGTATTTATTTTTAAGTTTTGTTATCTGCAATTTATAGTGCTAATCTTATTTTATTATCTTATCTATGCATTCGCGCTTTCTATTTATACCAAATAACTATAATTTTCTTTTAAATCCTATTCATGCAAGACTAGCAATTGATCACATAATAACATGCATATGCACCTATCTTATCTAAGTTACATAGATTTTGGTTTGGTTTGTTTTTGTTTTATGTCCTATAACAAGAGGCCCAATGGGCCTGCATCGCTCACCTGGTATTAATCTCACACTTGTAATCTTAAAAGTGGACTAAAATACAGCTACAGGCAAAATATCAGTGTTTCATTCATAAGAACCTATTAAAAGATTTAAACATATGACACCTGTGACTTTGAAGGTCGAACAAGGACATTATAATATTAGGTTGAAAAGAGTTTAAAGTCTTCCAACTCAGCATGCTTCTGGAAAAATATCATTACCCTGGACCTTTTGGTTATACAGAACAAATCATTTAAAGATTTAAACATATATTGACCACTGTGACCTTGAATATTGGCGAAGGTCATTCACTTGGTAGTCCTTCATCCCAGCATGTTACTGGCATTATCCTAGGCCTCTTGGTTATTCAGAAGAAATTGTTTAAATGTTTTTAACATATTTGACCCCTGTGACCTTGAATAAAAGTTAAGGTCATTTATTTGAATTAACTTGGTAGCCCTTCATCCCAGCATGTTACTGGCCAACTATCATCATCCTAGGCCTCTTGGTTATTCAGAAGAAATTGTTTAAATGTTTTTAACATATTTGACCCCTGTGACCTTGAATAAAAGTTAAGGTCATTTATTTGAATTAACTTGGTAGCCCTTCATCCCAGCATGTTACTGGCCAAATATCATCACCCAAGGCCTCTCGGTTATTCAGAAGAAGTTGTTTAAAGTAAAAAGTTGACGCCGGACGGACGCCGCACCATGCCATAAGCTCACTTGGCCCTTTGGGCCAGGTGAGCTAAAAAGCTATGGTCAGTTAAGGACGTGCCAGGTTTCGGTGGTGGAGGAAAGCCGAAATTCCTGGAATCTACCAACGGCCAGTACCTGGCGACTGCCCCACGGAGGTATCAAACCCGTGACCCAGTGGTGGAGGGCTAGTGGTAGCAGAATGTCAGACGCCTTAACCACTTGGCCACCGCGGCCCCCTTAAGTAAATTACTTATGTGTCTTGCAGGAATTATCGTATACAAGTGTACTTGCCAACTTTTTTTTAATTAACATGGGGGAAATTTTGCATGTTCAAAATTAAAACATAAATATAATGTGTGTACTACTCCCTTGATACAAAATAACCTTAGAAAATGAAATATTTTGAATTCTTCTTCCAGATGAAATCAACGGATCTTAAAATAATTATTATTAGGAATAGTTAAGCAATTTTACTGGTTAAAAATGCTAAATTTAAGAGTCCAAAATCTGGAGTCTCTCCGTAATAGGGAGAAGTGGCAAGCATGGATTGGACTATGCCTGTTATTCATGAATCAACATTATTAGTCGTTATTACGTATTTCTTAATTTACAGAACTATACAAATTTAACTACCATGACAAAAGATGAATTAATAATGTGAAAGATAATGATACTGTAACTGAAAGAGAAAAACAATATTCAAACTGGCTTCATCATTTGTACTATGACTGTTCAGTGGACCAGCCAGGTGTAGCAGAACTGGACTAGGTCGATTGCCGTTGGTCGGGTAGCTCAATTGGTAAGAGAGTCCTTCCTGAATTTGGAGGGTCTCGGGTTCGAACCCCGGTCTGGTCGTGCATTTCTGCGCTCTCGTTACATTTGGCACCCAACAAAATATTTATTGATAAGCACTTTAGACTCAACTTTCTATTATTTGGACCATTACATCAACAATATCAATAAGAATGGTGTAGATTTGAGGTCCATTTCAGTGTTTAATTTCTCCATTTCAGTCATTCAACTTCATTTCGGCACATTTCGGTCATTACCTTATCCAAATTTCATTTTCTTACATTATGAATTTAAATGCTAGCCTGAGTTTCCCCTGGTCCTGACACCAGATTTAAACAATTTGACAGATAGTAGCTATGTCCAAGCTAAGGGGAGATAATCAAAACTTATTTTTTTACTTAGCTGAAAAAACACCTTCTGAAGTAGTGATTTAAACGTATTTCCCAGCGTTAAATGAGGGTTATTATAGTTATTTTTATATCTTCCGATACCACTTGGTGGTGTACTAATCAAAGCATCAATCAATGAAATGGCATGCAGGTTACACGTATGTATGATATTCTGTGATATTTCTAATGCCTTTGATCGGGTTTGATGATTAAGGTAAAAAATTATGGAATTTCAAGAGAATTTTATCAATGGTTGGAAAATTAATCAGAGGCACCAGAGAGTCTTTTTGAATAATTCTTACTCCCACTTAGGTTTCATTGAAGCAGGTGATCCTCAGGGTTCGATTCTTGGACCTCTTTTGATTCTTATCTATATTGATGATATTGATGATATTTTTTAATCAACCGCTTTTCTTTTTGCAAACGATACTTCTTTGTTAAAATCATCATCTTTGTGTCTACAAATCCAAACGGTTCTGAATAGAGATCTCGAGTCTCTTAATGCATGGTCCCAAACTTGGTTAGTACCATTCAACCCAGAAAAAACTGAGGTAAGTTTTGTTTCAAACTTAGTTGAAATTGATGAAGATTTAGAATTAGAATTTAATGGTGATTTTTTAATTTTACTGATCATCATAAACATTTAGGTGTAATTTTTAATTCAATGGCATATTTGTGCAATATATACTTCAGTTTGAAAAAAATCAATGTCTTACGTAGACTAAAATGCTTATTGAATCAAGATAATCTTTTAAAGATTTTATAAATCCTTTATTTTACCAGTTTTAGAATATGCTTGTGAATTGTGGGATGGTTTCATAACATTTGAAACAAAATAATGTTAGATAAAGCCCAAAGAGAAGCTATTCCTATTTTGTATACTAACTCTGGACTTCTTTATGTGCCAGAAATGAAAATTTACATTTTGAATCTGGTCTAGAAACTCTTTCAAATCGAAAAAACACAGAAACTCCAACTTTTGTATACAATGCACAACGAATTACCTTTTCAAAATTTCCAAACAGCTCTCAATAATCAGTTTTTAACAGATTGGGCACAATGGCGCATATGGGTATTATAATCCTGCATTTGGGTAACAGTTACCCATTTTAGTAACAATTTTATTACTGAAATGGGGAATAAAGTGAAATAAAAACACACAAAGTTCTTTTAAACACTTGGAGCAAAAAAAATGTCATTTTCACAAAAATTTAGACAACTGAATTTACATATTTTTGTACACAATTGTACCTCATTGTATTTTTTATTTGATTAGGTTGAAAGAATGACGCCCTTTTTTTGTTCATAATGTGTAAAAGAAATTTGTGTGTTTTGATTTCCCTTTATTACCCATTTCAGTAATAAAATTATTACTGAAATGGGTAACTGTTACCCGAATGCAGGATTATTACACCCATATGGATGCGCCGTTGTTCCCAACCTGTTTAAGATAAAGTTATTTTTCATTGGTGTTCTGTTTTAAACAGATGGTAATAATTAAAAAAAAAAATACTTATTAAAACAATACACATCCTTCCAAAAAATAGATGTATTTGTCAAAATGTCTCAGTCTGGAGGTGTTAGGGCCAGAGGAAATTCTGTCTAACGTTATTTACATGCCAGATGCAGATGTAACATAGTCAATGAGGAAATTAGATGCATATATAGTTTTACCTACTCGTGTGCTCTGAACATTACACGACCATGTTAACTTGCAGCTCGCTTTGCAGAAGGTGCTTGACAAATGTACACACCAGCCCTGTTTTAAAATTTGTTTTTGTCTCTTTCTTTCTCTCCCTCGTAATTTTCCAAACGTTGTCTTTTATGTTTTCAAAATAGGAGAAGTTTTAAGGGGAGGTAACTCCTTTTGAAACATAAGAAAAGTCCATATCACAATATTAACAGTAATTACCTTTGTAGGAAATCGATTCATAAGAACACCGAAGAGCGGGTTCGGGTATTTTGAATACTCTTTTACTTTGTTCTGGTACATGAACTGGTATATTAAACTAGTAAATACACTTCTGTAATGGGCAAAATTTGAGTAGCTTGTAGAATTTTGTAGAGTTTTAGTTCTAGCTACCTCAGTATACGTAACAGACAGAAGCTGGTCAGGCTCGGCCTCTACTCCTTTTTCAGACCTATAACATAAAAGGCCGCTGGTCGGCTTTTTTTCTTTTCTATCGGATATTATTTTGCCGACTGTTAACTTGCATGGCGCATGTCAAAAGTTTCTCGCAGTGTAAAAACTCTAAGATTGGAGTAGCTCGGCCCCATGGTCAGCGACTGGGAGTGGTTAAGGAAGGGGGTCCCCCAAGGTTCAATAGTTGGACCTCTAATTTTTGATATTTTTTTAAATGACATCTTCACTGTTTTAAAATTTGTTTCTCTATACAACTACGCAGATGACAACACCATGTCTTAGGCCTATATAAGGGATAGCACTGATCCCAACCTCAGAGAAGTTTTAGAAACCGTAGGAAGGCAACCTTTTAGTTAAATGGTTTTCAAACAACGGCATGCAGGCCAATCCAGACAAATTCCAGGCCATTTATATAGGGAAGAAATCCCAGGAGCAAATAAGTTCTTTCAAATTGCAGCAGAGAACAGTGTTAAGCTACTAGGAGTAGAAATTGATAGTGATTTAAAGTTTCACACTCATATAGGTCCTATCAAATTTATGTAGAAAGGCCTCCATGCAGCTGAGTGTGCTTAAAAGTAATGGAAATAACCTTACAAAAATGGGCAAAATTACTATTTTCAAATCCTAAATTTTATCCTTTATCTAACGGTGTAATTTCACTTTTTCCTTACATGAAACAATCAGAACATGTGTATGTAATTACCAGTGATTTCTTTTGTAAAGCTGATGGAAATCATGAAGTTACACATCTGTGCACACCTATTTCATTTAGCCAACAGTGTAGACATCATCAGATCATACGGAGAAACAGGATTTGTGACAAATGTAATTTGAGAGAAGACGAGTTTCATTTTATTTTGATTTGTCCATTTAATAGCGATTTGAGGCACAGATTAATTGAAAAATACTATTACAAAAAAAACCAATTTTTAAAAATAATACAACAACTTAGTATAAATAATGTTAGAGAGCTATCCAATTTAGGTAAATATCTATATTGGAATTCGAGAGGCGATACTTATAGGTTTATGTATTATGGTGTTTCATAACTGTAATTGTCATTATTGAACGGTGTTTTATGTATAATGCGGTGTCACTCTCCTGTCTATACTTATGTTTAGATAATGTTATATCTATATATGTATGTATACGTATATATATTATTATATGTATATATGTTATATGTATATATGTATGTACATATAAGGCTTTTGGTTAATAAAAAATGAATGAATGATACAGTTAATGTGGGAGAACACAGGTAAAAACCAGGTAAAATATATATGAAACAGACTATAACTGCTATCACAACATTACTGCCTCTATGGTCTTTTTAAAAAGTGGGAGAAAGGAGAACACACCGAATGAAGGTAGGGATTTTGTCCACGTGTGATGTGATTGACACGTATTTAGGTATGGCTTTGGCCACGCGTCATCTGAACCAGTTTCACACATGACCATTGATTGACAGGTGATGCCTGTTACAAATAACAATAACTTCTGTATATCTTTGATTTTTTTCCGCAATGATTGTCTTCATAAATAATGAAATTCATTTTTCTATATATTTTTTCCGATATGATAATGATAAATTATTGTATATCATTCCCGCGATAATAAACTTCGTATTTTATCCAATATCCATATAACAAAGATGAATTATTGTATTTCATTCCCGTGAAAATTGATATAACTACTTCATAAATGATGAAATATATATTGCTATAATGTTTCCAATATAACGACGATGAATTATTGTATATCATTCCCGTCATAATTTACTTCATAAATAATGAAAATACATTTACAAGTACGCCCGAATAAGATCTATATATATTTAACTTATTTGGTATATCAGTTTTGGGTTGTACATGTATTGGGTAAATCGACGGACCCATTTTATCAAGTTTTAACTTTTGTCCTCTAGCTTGGCATTTTGCAATAAAAGCAATACTAGTGTAGTAGGACGAGGAATAGTGATAAAGATAGTGCCGTCGCTGGGGCTCGAAGATGCTCTACCGCTAAGCTGAAGAGATCCCTACAGCTGACGCTTGTAAGTTAACATAATTAATCCACATCTTTTACACTATTCCCCAAGAACAAACTCAGGTTCTTTGACTCCCCGCCAATGGTTCTCCTACCTTGAACGGGGAGCGTCGACGGTACCAATTTGTAGTAGGACGAGAAATAGTGATTAAGATAGTGCCGTCGATGGGCCTCGAACCCGCGACCCTTGACTCTCCAGCCCAATGCTTTACCGCTAAGCTAAAGGGGGAATTCTCTACAGCTGGCGCTTGTAAGGAAACCTAATCATGGAAAAAGATTATGAATACTTTGACGTAATACACAAATCTATGTGTTTGATATGAAGATGAATAAAACGCTTCCCCGTGTCATTGAAATGAAGTAAATAGATACAATAATAGAACGAATAATACTTTAGTTATTTAGTATATTAATTTATCACGTGGACATTACATTTGTGCATAAACTGCTATTTAATACTGGTGATACGGATTACAAACGTGCTCAATTTTAGTTGATACGGATTACGTTCTATGTTGATACGGATTACATTGACATGTATTAAATCGATTATCAAGCGAGAGTTTTTTACCACTACATGTATTTATATCTCCGTCTCTTCAGGTGAGTTATGTATCTTGTCAATATGTAAAAACAAACTTCTCCTAATCTACTCGGCCAATTTCAAAGGAATCAGATAAGATAACTACTACCTGATGGTGTGCATTCAGGTATTATTTGTTCAATCTCATTTCCTTTTTTACGGAGTGATGGCCCTTTGTTGAAACACATTTGTCCAGACAACTCCTCCAAAACAATGGGGCCAATTTTAACGGAAGTTTTTAGATATGATAACTACCCCTTGGTGTTGTGTATCCAGGTATTTTTTTTCCAATCCTTTTCTATGGAGTTATGGCCTTTTCTTGAAAAATCCTTGTCCTGACAACTTCTCCGGATCGACTCGGCTAATTTCGAAGTTTACAGATATGGTAACTGTCCCCTGATGTTGTGAATCCATGTAGTACTTTTTCATTCCGACCCTTTTAAAAGGAGTTATGGTCCTTTGTTAATATAAAACTTTGTCTGTCTCCTAAACTACTTGTCCGATTTCAATGAAAGTTTACAGATATGGTAATTACCCCCTGATTTTTCATTCCGACACTTTTGACAAAGTTATGGCCCTTTGTTGAACAAATCCTAAAACTTTTTGTCCGTCCGGACAAACTCGTTCTTAAGTTATGGATCGATTCCAACGAAACTCCTCAGATATGATAAATACTACCTGAAACTGTGCATCCAGGCGTTATTTTTTTTCCATTTCGAGCCTCTTTTATTTTTACAAAATGGCCCTTTGTTGAAAAATCTTTGTACGGACAACTCCTTCAAAACTACGGTGTTAATTTGATGTCGTGCATCAGGGTAGTATTATTTTCATTCCGACCCTTTAAAAAGGAGTTATGATCCTTTGTTGAGAAAAAAACGTTGTCTCCGAAACTGCTGGTCCGATTTCAATGATAGTTTACATGTATGGTAAATAATCTCTGATGTCGTGCATCAGGGTAGTATTTCTTTCATTTCGACCCTTTTTAAGGAGTTATGGCCCTTTTTTGAAATATTTTTCCAGACAACTCTTCCTTAAATACTATGACGATTTCAGCAAAACTGGTTCATCTGGGCTAACAAGATTTGGTTTGCAAGTATGTTTTGCAATTGGGAGGGAGTACAGAAGGTATGTCACTTACCTATATACTTAAATAAGTGTACAGATCAGTGAATAAAAAAATCATTACTGGTGGGAGACTATTAATTGATTGCTTTGCAATGCTTTACCTTACAGTTCTGGTTTATATAGGAGCGGGGTTATAAGTTAGCCTTTGGCTTACAGTTCTAGTTGTTAAAGGTTGTGAGGTCGCGTCACTGAGCATTTCGAACTCCCTCCCTTGAAATAAAAGTTACTGCCCCTTAATAAGTAGCTGATTATGTAAGTTTGTTTTCAATTTTCCAGTTATTAATTATAACTTACTAGTTGAACTTAAGTGATTCCGAGACAGAATAATTGTTTTCATTTGACAATAGAAATTTCCATTGGAAACATGCATCATTTGTTTAGTCATGTGATTTTATTTTTTGATAGCCACACCATATATGTGTGAGATATATAACTGATACACATCTACCCCTAATGACGGCAAAGTTTGTAATGAGGGTAGTATTAAAACACAGAAGAAAAAATCAAACTTTTTGGAAGTCTCAGATCTAGAAAAATTAAGATATTCTATTTGTTCCTATGTGATGCTTTGTGACTAAGAAAATATCTTAAAATTTGTTAAAAAATATTGATTTTCATTTAGTTGAAATATGTTTGTTTGACCGTAATCCGTATCATTCCAGTTTGTAAATGAACGTAATCCGTATCACACAGGGACGTAATCAGTATCGGCATACACATACCAACTGCATATTTTTGGGAAAATATCGCTGAAACGTGTTTAGTTTGGGATAAGGGGAAGTAACTCCTTGATGTAAACAGACTTGTTCAGTATTCTTGAGATATAGTAACATCATATCAATGTACAAATATATGTCTGTGTTTCTTACCACCTGTTGTCACTTTAAGGAGAGGACTTAGATAGGCTATGCCTGATGTCTGATCCTA